TTGAGATTTTGCGAGTACACCCTCTCTCCTTTTTCACACTAGTTTCTTTTTTTTTTGAACCTTATTTGGAAAAGTCTCTTTCTCATATACTTAAGAATTCGACTTTTGAACATATCATATTCCGCATTTATAAAGATTAGAAAATAAGGCTCTAAAAAGATGAAAGAATGAAAATAAATAGTTTGCAATAAATTAGAAATAGAAATGAAACAATCTAAGAATTTTAAATAAAAGAATCTAAAATGTTGATGGATTTTATTAATTGAAGCATTCTTACTTAGAAATTCGGCATGGCAAAAACAATCTTGTAAACAGTATAAACAGAAAGATTAAAATAAAAAGACATTAAAAAAAAATGAATCGTTGTTAATAAAATAATTTAGTCTCATATTTAAATAAGAAAATTATTAATTAATATTTGCCGATCATATCTCTTTCAAGGCCCTATCTAATTTTAAATATCTAAATTTCTTATAATCTACCTATATATATCTTGAGAGTACAATCAGCAATTTTTCATTTCTCGAATTACTAAAAATTAGAAGGTTTTAATGAATTTGGTAAGGATAGGATATTTAATTTAATCAATTCCATTAACTTAATAATGTATGAGATTATATAAAATAGATATGGAAAGGATTTGATCATTTATTAAATTAATATTATTGCCAAACTTGGTCATAAATAAACAAATTTATCTCCTATAAGATGTCTGTAAATCATTAATGAACATTGTCCTAAATTAATACATTTATGGATAAACCACGTAATCCTTAGAGCAGGAATGCTAATTGTAAATCAATTTAACGATGAATTATAAATTTGAAGGATCTCTCCTCAATTGAAGGTAAATACAATTATGCAATACACAGATTTAATGCATTCACTGAATTCCCTTTGACAAATTGATTCAGATACTATTAAGTTTCAAACCACCATTATGGTTAATTTCATTCATATTATATATATATATGTATATTAACAAAGAAATATTTGAAATAAAGGAAAAAAATGAAGTGTTACAAAATTATTAAAATTATATATCTAATATTTAATCTTTTTTATTTAAACCCAAAATAAACATCTTTGATCAATATAATTAAAAGTATTAACTAACATAATAAAAATATGTATAAATCATTCCTTTGTGTATTGTTTAATGAGCATGTTTTCTGTAATGCCAATTATTTAGTGCACTAAAGGAAAATCTCATTTGCTGTATTTGACATTTCAATACTAAAGTTGGCAAAATTATACAACAACAATTAAAATTAGATAACTAATATGTATCATTTGATTAAGAACCTAATCATAATACTTAAGATTCTTATAATGAAAATAGAATTCATAAATTAAGAAAAATTTATGGGCAATAAATTTTTTAATAGATTATTTTTTTACTTTTGAGTAGTTACACTTATTATCATTTAGTTGAGAATAATACTGTTATTAAAAAATTTAAAAAAACGAATTCAATTTGAGGGATATTTTTATTCTAATATCCAAGCTTCAAATTAGCAAGAAAAAATAGAAAAGAATATTAACGGAGAATTTTCTTTTAAGGAGCAAACTATTGCGCAAGATAAAACTCATTTAGCTGTGAATAATTTGTTAAGCATACTATTTTAAACACTATTTGTATTCTAAAAAAAGAGTTTTAAATTTTATATTCAATTTAAATCTAAATTGGTGAATAAAAATTTCAATGGCAAACTAACACGGCACATTTAAATAATTGTTTTCATTTTTAGTCATCGAATTTTTCATATATTAGAGAACAATATGGATTTTCAATCGAATTTGCCTTATAGAGCAGAATTAAACTAATCCTTCTAGCTTTTAATATATGTATTTACGCTTCAATTTTATGTTTAAGTTGGTTTTCTTACAAGATCAATTATTATTAAGCTATATTTTTCCATTGCAAGTTATCATTATAATAATAATCATATTTTCATCATAAAGAAACATTTCAAAAAGCGAATTCTCAAAAATTAGAATTTTTTTAGCTTTTTGAATCAAAATTATATATGGCTAATTGTAAATAACTTGTACTTTATAAAATCAATGTAGGTAAAATTCATTCTGATTCTTATAAATAATGGCGTGTATGTATTCAAGTTACAATATTACTTGTACACCTAGCTTATATATTTGTATAACTTATGCTACTAACTATTCTTTTCTATTAATTTAGCACAAGCTAAACCATGCATTCTAAGGAGTAATCATCAGGTGTATATTTCATAATTCACTGAAAATAGGATAAAATAAATTTTGCTCCTCATGTGTAGGCATAATCAAAAGGATTATAGAGATGATAAGAAACATATAGTGAGGACACTGCTTATACATTTTAAGCTATAAACTCAAAGAATACCATTTGCAGTTTTACATGCAAATGGTGGGAAGTTTTGTAAAATCGGTTTCATTAACTAAATAATCGATTTTCTAGCTCAGCAAGCATTAGCAGCTGCAAAGTTTAATTAAGAACATGGATTTTTGATTTGGATAATTCCAAAGTACCTATTTTCAAACACCAAAATTTCCACTATAAACACATTTATAAAAACAATATATATAGTCGGAAGAACAGATTTTACAATCATAAATAACAAATATTAATGAACAGCCCTTAGAAAATGCTATTTTGCATTTTTCAACGGTCAAAAGCAACATTTAAAGAAAGTAAATAAAATTTGGACATTAGCAAATAGTTATTTTCAATTAGAAACGAATTCTCAAGCAGAATATTCCACATCTCCATGACCCTTTACAAGAATTCGTGAATTCTAACGTGCATAACTATTCCGTCAACTACAACCTTTGTAAAGAGAAAACCGAAACTGTAAATTCATTAGGACCTTCTCAACACATTAAGTTCCACTAAAAACACAGAATTATTAGCTAATTTAAGAAATATTTCAATTACAAGCTATTTAATAATATATCTTAGTTTTTATTTTACATATATATAAAATTGTAAATTTTAGTCAACTACTCTTAGAATATAAATGTTAAACATAGAAAAAGGATTCAATCTTCTTTGAATACAGAATCTGAATCATTTTCTACAATTTATTTTAAAAGGTTGTATTTTAATTTAAAATGACAAAAAAAATATTTTTTGAATCAAAATAATGTAGAAATAGATTTTAGAACATACGAAACTTTCAAATTTCAAGTTTCTTCCTTATAGATATTTTAAACATCAAATTTTTCATAATTTTCGTTGATATTTTTTTAATTTAGTATATACTCCCTTATAGAAATAGTTTTATTTAGAAATTTATCATTCCATAATTGCATTGTTAATAGTATTTCTATTTGTATTTCCTCATCCCTATTTCATTTATGATTACATCTCCTATGTGAGAATCAAAAATTGGGGCTCCTCAAAATTACATATTATATAATGGCCCATCCATTCTCCTGGCGTCTTAGGATCAGTCATATGCCAGTTATGAACAAGCCCAACCTCGTTTTCTGTATACTTCTTGATTGATGGTACATAGTGGGTTTTGTTAATAATTTCTTTTTTTTTTATCTATATTGAAAAATAGTTAAGATATTCACAAGGTTTATGAAACATGCCATTATTACAATTATCAATATCTCCTAATCATTATAAATTTTCTTTTCTTCCTAAAAATTATAAGCAAGATAGTTTTATCTATCATAGATTTCAAAGTAAAACAATAAAAATTCAATAATAATTATAAAAAAGAAAATGACTCATTATAAGAAAGGGGATTTGTTTGAGGAATTATAACCTCTTGAAGATATAGATGAATTAATATTCAATTTAATAATTGAAATGCTCTTAAAGGAAAAAGTTTCAGATTCTCTAAAATTTCTTTCAAAGTGTTTGTTTAAACTTAGCTATGATGAATATATTTTTTTATGTGACAATTTATAGCTTTTTGATAAGTATTGGAAACTAGATGCTGTTAAAAGTAGCTTTAAGAAAATTACATATGTTCTCCAAAAATTGGTTTAGCATGAATTTAATAAAATTAATTATTCTGAGCAAGCTTATAAAGAAAAAAAATATATTCTTATCAATAAGATATCGAATTAAGAGAATATTATCAATTTTTTTAGATTTTTAGTAAACCTCACAAGTATAGATCACAAATTTATCTAATGTGGATCCAATTCTCTTCATATATTAGTTACGATGTAGGTTGATTTAAAGCAATAATCTTTTGAAAATATTATAATTAGAAATACTTCACTTTTTGGAGCAAATTTTTTTAGGTGCGACTTTAGTGGATCTAAATTTGATAATGTCATTATTAGTGGAATGAATTTAAATTAAGCCAAATTATATAATTGTAATTGGAAGAATTTAATTATAAACGAGGGAATTAAGTTAAAAGGACATTCTAGATACGTCAATTCAGTCTGTTTTTCTCCAGATGGTAAGTCATTAGCGTCTTGCAGTGATGATTAATCAATTATTTTGTGGGATGTTAAAACAGGAAAAATAAGGTCGTTATTCTTAGGGGACAGAATTGTAAAGTCAATCTGCTTTTCCCCTAACAGTACTTTATTAACTTCTTCTAGTGGTCAATTTGTCTATGTATGGAACATAAATAGAGGGAAATAAATGTACAAATTAAATGGTCATACAAAAAATGTTAATTCAGTCAATTTTTCTCCTGATGGCACTACATTAGCATCTGGTGATGGAGATCGATTCGATAATAGAGGAGCCTGCTTTATTTATTTATGGGATATTAGGACAGGATAATAAAAAGCCTAATTATATGGTCATTCAAATTCAGTTCAATCTGTCTGTTTCTCTCCTAATGGTAATACATTAGCATCTGGTAGTTCTGATAAGTCTATTCGATTTTGGGATGTGAAGACGGGATAATAAAAAGCAAAATTAGATGGCCATTCAGATTTTGTCACGTCTGTCTGCTTCTCTCCTGATGGTACTAAATTAGCATCTGGTAGTTATGATAGGTCTATACTTTTATGGGATGTTGGGACAGGATAATAACAAGTAAAATTTAATGGTTTTATTGATAAAGTCATGTCAATCTGTTTCTCTCCTGATGGTTATACATTAGCATCTGGCAGTGTAGATAGCTTGATCTGTTTATGGTACGTTAGGACAGGAAATTAAAAAGCTTAAATAGTTGGTCATAATTATGATGTCATGTCAATTTGTTTTTCTCCTGATGGTAATACATTAGCATCTGGTAGTGCAGATAAATTTATCGGTTTATGGGATGTTAAGACAGGAAAGGATAAAGCCAAATTAGATGGTCATTCAAGTGGGGTATGTTCAGTCTGTTTCTCCCATGATGGTACTACTTTAGCATCTGGAAGTGGAGATAGCTCTATCCGTTTATGGGATGTTAAGTCAGGATAATAGAAAGCCAAATTAATTGATCATAGTCGTGGTGTCCAGTCAGTTTGTTTCTCTCCTGATGGTAAAACATTAGCATCTAGTGGAGATAATTCTATCAGTTTATGGGATGTTAAGACAGGAAAAGTAAAAGCCAAATTAAATGGTCATACTTATGATGTTCATTCAATCTGTTTCTCTCCTGATGGTATTAATTTAGCATCTGGTAGTGGAGATAGCTCTATTCGTTTATGGGATGTGAAAACAGGAAAAGAATTAGCCAATTTATAAAATTCATCTAAAGGAATTCAATAGGTCTGTTTCTCTACTGATGGAATAACATTAGCATCTTGTAGTTCATATTATTCGATTACTTTATAGGCAAAACCATGGCGCA